CATCGCCAGTTATGCAGTTCCTTTAACCTCAAGCAGTTAGTCAAAGACGCTACTAGAGGAAAGAATATTTTAGATAAAATATTTACCAACATTTCTAAATTTTATAATTCTGGCCTGGTAATTTCTCCAATTGGACATTCCGATCATAATTCCATCGTTCTTAAACCTCTTCCAGCTAACTCTTATGGTGGCACAAGGTCTACACGTTTAGTACGAGACTCTCGCCCAACCAATCGTCGAATTGTTAGCGATCATCTGTCGAAAGTTAATTGGTTACCTTTGCACCATATGGAATCTGGTGACGAGCAGTTCCAGTATTTTTCCACCATCGTTGATAATATCATAAACGAACATTTGCCTTGGAAACAAATCAAAATTGATTCTAGTGACAAGCCCTGGATTACTTTCGAAATAAAATCTCTCATTTCCAAGCGGCAGACAGCATGGGCGGCTGGCAATAACCTGATGTTCAGATTCTATCGAAACAAAGTCAATGCACTTTGCAAAAAAGCACGACTAAATTACTACAATAAAAGTATCGCGGGCGTTCAACAGTCCGATTCTCGTAAATGGTGGTCAGCGGTGAAGAATATTGCCGGTCTTCAGTCTTCTAAGAATGTATCTACAATGATGTTCCAAGGTAAATCCTACTCTGATGCCGATTTAGCAAATTTGCTCAACGACAAGTTCGCTGCTGTAGGGTCCTCCTTACCCAATCTAAACTGGCTCCCCCTTCCCACAAATGACATTCCAGATGATTTCTGCATCTCTGTCGAGGAGACTGAAAAAGCCCTATTATCATCTAAACTTCATTCATCTGCTGGTCCCGATGAAATTCCTTCTTGGCTTCTCCGGGAAAACGCTTCAGTGTTGTGTCGACCTTTGTGTTCTATTTTTAATTCATCAGTTCGTGAAGGATTTGTTCCCTCAATATGGAAGGCAGCAAATATTACACCAGTTCATAAATCTTCGCCTCCTAAAGATGTTGATTCTGACTTCAGACCAATTTCCCTCACACCAATTATCAGCAAGATTCTTGAATCCTTTCCCTACAAATGGCTACTTGACTCCGTCTCAAAAAAATTGATTCCTTGCAATTTGGTTCGCTGAAGGGTTCAAGCACTAGTATGGCATTAATCTACATGCTACATAAATGGTTTGAAGCAGCTGACAAACAAGGTAACACTATACGGATTTGTTTACTTGATTTTTCCAAGGCGTTTGATAGATTAGATCATAACATTCTGTTGGAAAAATTGAAAGACATGGAAATTCATCCCGTGTTACTCAACTGGATCGCAAACTTCCTAACAGACAGACAACAAAGAACCCGTGTTGGTCAGTTCTTTTCTGAGTGGAAGTTTTTAAACGCCGGCGTCCCACAAGGAACGAAGCTTGGCCCGCTATTATTTTTGATCATGATAAATGACTTGGCTGTAGCGGATGAAACTGTTAAATTTGTCGATGATACTAGCCTTTGGGAAATAATATCAAACAATTCCCCTTCCCAGTTACCCGCTAACATCATCAGCTGCCCTGAATGGTCATCAGACAATAATATGAAGTTAAACGTATCAAAGACCAAAGAATTGCGTGTCTGCTTTTCTAAGCTTACTCCATCGTTTGCCCCTATTAACATTCGCGGTCAAGAGGTCGACGTCGTTTCCGAGGCCAAACTATTGGGCGTTGTCCTTTTGGACGACCTCAAATGGAACTGCCATATTGACTACATTTGCAAGAAAGCCGCGAAGCGTTTGTACGGTCTGCGCCTTCTTAAAAGAAATGCTTTACCTTCTCATATTCTGATCTCAACCTATTGTACACAATATCGAATATGCTTGTCAGGTGTGGCATTATGGCCTTCCTCATTACCTGAGTGACCAAGTTGAAAAAATACAAAAAAGGGCATTAAAAATTATTTTCCCTGGAACTATCTATGCTGAATGTTTGCTTAAAGCTAACTTGATGACTCTTTACGAACGTAGAACTGTCCATTGCAAGCGACTTTTCTCGAAGATGTTGGAACCGACTCATAAACTGAATGCCTTAGTACCGCCTAAAAGTCTTCAAACTTATAATCTGAGGTCTTATTCCAACTTATTAGTACCTAGGTGTAGAACTGAACGTTTTTCGAACAGTTTCATTCCTGCTGCGTCTCGTGCTTATAATAATAAGTAAACTTTAGATTATTATCGTTATTTTATCTAACTTACCTATTTTTACCTGTAAATATAGAATAGATTAAATACCTATGTTCTTATACCCTGTAATTCCAAAGTAATTCAGTTGTTACTGCTAGTTTGGAAATTTATAATAATAATAATAATAATAATAAAAATATATATATATATATATATATATATATATATATATATATATATATATATATATATATATATATATATATATATATATATATATATATATAATAGCCTTTTAAAAACACGGGCGCTGATTGGTCAAAAGCTAAAAAAAAACGTGTTTCAATAACTCGATAGAAACACGGAGAATTTTCACGCGGGTTGCGTGGATTGCGTGGGAATTTAAAAGACAAAATACAAACAATATTTAATTTTGAAAAAAGTTGAAAAACGTCCCGAAACGCCGAAGAACCGTTACAATATATATATATATATATATATATATATATATATATATATATATATATATATATATATATATATATATATATATATATATATATATATATATATCGCGACGTTTTTAATCATGTTTACTATCGTCTTTAATCATGTTTAAACGTTCACTAACTATTTAAAACAGTGCTTTCTTTGCATGCAAGCATGTACGTTGTTGAGTGAATTATATACTTTAGTGACAGCGATATACTTGTAACTTGTTTACTTTGCTATGGTTTTATAATTATTCTTTACACGAACGTATATATTAAGCCGTTTAAGGTGGAATTAATATTTGAATAAAAGCAATTAAAATCAATAAATTTATCTTTTCTATTGTTTCTAAAAGGCTGTTTAATAAAGGAAATAGAAAACATTTTTTACGTGTTCCTATAGAGTTTATAGAAACACTTGTCCAAGTTTACATATATATATATATATATATATATATATATATATATATATATATATATATATATATATATATATATATATATATATATATATATATATATATATATATATATATATATATATATATATATATATATATATATATATATATACTTATATATATATATATATATATATATATATATATATATATATATATATATATATATATATATATATATATATATATATATATATATATATATATATATATATATATATATATATATATATATATATATATATATATATATATAGGTCATATTGAGCGCTCTACAGGATGAGCCATGCCGCTTACGCATTGCTAGCCTGCGAACAGGCTCACTGGGAGAAAGGTGAGCCTGCCCGGAACCATGCGTTTTATTCAATCATCCCCTTTTCGCATCTGCTAAACGCGAACCAATCAGCGTCGACTGCGATAAATAAACTGTCAACTGTCAAATTGACGCAAGGCGTGTACATTGTGCAACGAAGAAATACTGAATATTAAAATGTATACATAATGTATATATGAACAATAATACAAAGCATTAGCGGGCCGCATAAAATATTACTCTGAAAAATATAGAATTCTTCAAATATTAAATAGATATCAATACACATACAAATATAAAGCCGAATAAAATACTACCATTGGCATTGAATCAATGTACAGTAATACTTCATGTACTATGTGCGATTGAAAGAACAATGTTCTGAATATTTGAAGCTTTTACTAAAATACGGTCAGATAGATTGGGATTTGGAATACCGAATACGTCTAAAATTTTACTAACTGTGGTCTAAATAAATGATAAATGAGCATGTATTTATTAATTTCTTCGAAATCACGAGTGTGCCAATAGTGGAAGCATAGTGGTGGAAGCCGTATCGACGACGAAATTGTCAGCAGTTTATACAGTAAATAGTACAGCGTTTAATGTACGATATATATTTATATCTAAATGACATGCCAGAGAGGATCAACAATATAATCATTATTCGTACATATTTGGGTATCTTTTGCATACCTTCGCTTGCTGACTTGCTCACTAATGAGAATAATCCGTGAAGCCACGACGACCTCAAAATGTACTATACTATAGTCTGATGTCAATCCGAATACGAAGTTCAGAATACTGTTATAGTTTCGTATATTGGATTTAAGCGATAGATTCAAGTCATTTATGATAGACTTTTTGCTGTGATGCTTTGCTATTGCTTTTGGCTTCCATTTCTAGTTTTATTTGTTCGATAGTCTTATAATATATAATATTAAAATGAATAAAGTTCAAATTCTTCAAAATGCTGTTGTTGACATTTGCTATTTTTAGTAATTTTGTCAACGAGTGTAAGCCAATCAGAAGCCTGCGTTTCTATACGAACGCCACTACCAAGAAAACCTATAGTTCCGTGCAGGCCCTCTATTAACGCGTTTCAAACTAAATTGGGATTTTCCAAAGTACGCGATTTCGCGTGTTTGTTTTAAATTATGCGGAATTTCTCTTTTTTTCCGCAAAATCTTGACAGTTTCCTAAAATATGTATAAAATAAAAAAAATTTGCTCAAAAATTGACCTAAAAACCAAGCAATGCGGATTTTTTTCCTACACTACTTTCGCAAAATCCGGTTAAAAATATTAAAAGCGAAAAAAATCGTATTTGTTAACGTATATTTCATATTTTAAAGTAAATTTTGCGTCCAATTACAAATATCCGCAGAAAACAGGAAATCAGCCAGAAAAAGTTGACTTCACAGCGCAAATATCGGTTTGGTGGTTGCAATATGCGGAATATTTGTATTCCACTATTTTTCCGCAAAGACGTGATAAAAACAAGGTTTTAGGCAATTTCGGTTGGATAACAGAATATTGATCGCTGGAAGCTATGAAAAGGTTCAGAATTTCTGAACCTTGAAAATCTGAAATCAATGAATATAAGCGGAATATTTACGGCGAAGAAAGCTACAAGGGGTTCAGAATTTCTGAACCCTGAAAATCTGAAATCAATGAATATAAGCGGAATATTTACAGCGAAGAAAGCTACAAGAGGTTCAGAATTTCTGAATCCTGAAAATCTGAAATCAATGAATATAAGCGGAATATTTACAGCGAAGAAAGCTACAAGAGGTTCAGAATTTCTGAATCCTGAAAATCTGAAATCAATGAATATAAGCGGAATATTTACAGTGAAGAAAGCTACAAGGGGTTCAGAATTTCTGAATCCTGAAAATCTGAAATTAATGGATATAAGCGGAATATTTACAGCGAAGAAAGCTACAAGGAGTTCAGAATTTCTGAATCCTGAAAATCTGAAATCAATGAATATAAGCGGAATATTTACAGTGAAGAAAGCTACAAGGGGTTCAGAATTTCTGAATCCTGAAAATCTGAAATCAATGAATATAAGCGGAATATTTACAGTGAAGAAAGCTACAAGGGGTTCAGAATTTCTGAATCCTGAAAATCTGAAATCAATGGATATAAGCGGAATATTTACAGCGAAGAAAGCTACAAGGAGTTCAGAATTTCTGAATCCTGAAAATCTGAAATCAATGAATATAAGCGGAATATTTACAGCGAAGAAAGCTACAAGAGGTTCAGAATTTCTGAACCCCGAAAATCTGAAATCAATGGATATAAGCGGAATATTTACAGCGAAGAAAGCTACAAGAGGTTCAGAATTTCTGAACCCCGAAAATCTGAAATCAATGGATATAAGCGGAATATTTACAGCGAAGAAAGCTACAAGAGGTTCAGAATTTCTGAACCCCGAAAATCTGAAATCAATGGATATAAGCGGAATATTTACAGCGAAGAAAGCTACAAGAGGTTCAGAATTTCTGAACCCCGAAAATCTGAAATCAATGGATATAAGCGGAATATTTACAGCGAAGAAAGCTACAAGAGGTTCAGAATTTCTGAACCCCGAAAATCTGAAATCAATGGATATAAGCGGAATATTTACAGCGAAGAAAGCTACAAGAGGTTCAGAATTTCTGAACCCCGAAAATCTGAAATCAATGGATATAAGCGGAATATTTACAGCGAAGAAAGCTACAAGAGGTTCAGAATTTCTGAACCCCGAAAATCTGAAATCAATGGATATAAGCGGAATATTTACAGCGAAGAAAGCTACAAGAGGTTCAGAATTTCTGAACCCCGAAAATCTGAAATCAATGGATATAAGCGGAATATTTACAGATCGGAAGAG